TCGCGAATTGTCGACAACGAAGAAGTGCCACTCGTTAAAACCTTAGATTTACTTCTTCCTCATTCTATATACATGGCCAACAGTACTCACCACTGGGGTGAACTTCTTCGCAATCTCAGTGATCAGTGAGCCATCTGCATCGTCTCCACTATCGATGTCACTCTTGTCGGAATCCTGCTGAGTCATGCGTCGTCGTAGCCTGCGCCGTCGCCGCCGGGCCAGCGATGCCGCCACGGCCGGGGTCAGTGATGAGGTCACGTCTGATTGGTGTCGGCGTGACGATGACGATACTGCTGCTGCTACCAACGCTGCTGATGCCCTGCCTGCTGCTGATACGGAGGTTGGTGCTGAGCTGGACGCTGGTGTGTCGCCTAACGGCTTTCTAACAGGGCTGTGGGTTTGCTGGCTAGAAGGTGATGGCATGCTGCTCTGGCTGCTACGAACCGCTGCTGGTGGGGGTGAGTCTGGCCGTGCGGAGTGATCGATGTTGGGTTCGGGCGACTGCGGCTCGCTGGTTGTAGAGCTGGTAGTTGCAGCCGTGCGTGTCACTGTGTTGTCACTAGCGGAGCTTGTATCGCTAGTGCCAGTGCTTGTGCTGGTGATGGTGCTGCTGGCCTCAGACTGAGCTACCAGGTCCAAACCAGTGGCAATGGTCACCTGAAAGTGGGCATGTACACACACACACACACACACACACACACACACACACACACACACACACACACACACACACACATACACACACACACACACACACACACACACACACACACACACACACACACACACACACACACACACACACACACACACACACACACACACATCGGTTACATGCATAGATAACAAGAATAGTAGAAAATGTCCGTGAAGTGGCATGAGAAAGAGAGGGAAATACAGATAGAGAGAGAGAGAGAGAGAGAGAGAGAGAGAGAGAGAGAGAGAGAGAGAGAGAGAGAGAGAGAGAGAGAGAGATAGTGTGTGTGTGTGTGTGTGTGTGTGTGTGTGTGTGTGTGTGTGTGTGTGTGTGTGTGTGAGAGAGAGAGAGAGAGAGAGAGAGAGAGAGAGAGAGAGAGAGAGAGAGAGAGAGAGAGAGAGAGAGAGAGAGAGAGAGAGAGAGAGAGAGAGAGAGAGAGAGAGAGAGAGAGAGAGAGAGAGAGGAGAAGAGAGAGAGAGACAGAGAGAGAGAGAGAGACAGAGAGAGAGAGAGAGAGAGAGAGAGAGAGAGAGAGAGAGAGAGAGAGAGAGAGAGAGAGAGAGAGAGAGAGAGAGAGAGAGAGAGAGAGAGAGAGAGAGAGAGAGAGAGAGAGAGAGAGAGAGAGAGAGAGAGAGAGAGAGAGAGAGAGAGAGAGAGAGGGAGAGAGAGACAGAGGTAGAGACAGACAGACAGACAGAGAAAAGCCTATACAAAAAGCAGGCATTGAGCTTGCACTTCTGTTGTGCACGGTACGCCACTCCACACCTATCTCACCTGAAAAGATCCCTTGTACGTCAGCAGGACATCCAGCCATAGTCCACGACCATCGACCTGGGGTTGATAGACCCTTTTGACGACGGGCAGCGAGTGACCCAGGTTCAGATCCTTCATGACCAAGGTCTTGATGAACGGAGGTAACTTGATACGCGAAAGCTTACGTTGCCACCGCACCTGAAGTACACAGGGACAAAGTACAGTACAAGAGGTACAGTTCGTACCAAGAGTACATACCCCCCCCTCCCCCAGAGTGTGCAACGCCTGATCCAGCTCTGCAAAGGGTCTTGGTCGAGCGTAATCGGATCTTCTGATGTCATCATACCGTACACAGCTGAGGGAAACCCGGGGAATCGCGGGGACTCTCAGATCAAAAACAACGATGCCCAGCCTCGAGACCGGCCTTGCGCTGGTGTGGAGTGTACGCATGACATCGGAAGATCCGACTACGCTCGACCAAGACCCTATGCAGAGCTGGATCAGGCGTTGCACACTCTGGGGGAGGGGTCATGTACTCTTGGTGCTACACGTACAGCTGCGTTCACTGAAATCCGACCCAACGTACAGAGCTGGTGCCCTCAACTAGCACGCCCTTGACGCCCCGGAAGTGACACGACTGCAGCTGGACGTACAAATGTACATGTACAATGATGTAATCGGAACTGGTACAGGGCGTCAGTTTTGCACATTGGGTCGGATTTCAGTGAGCGCAACCGTAGATGATACTCGAAACTAGTACAGTGGCACCGTTAAAATACAGCACCATTTGTGCGACTGAAATTCTGCTGGATTAGGGAGGATGCTGATACAACATATCTGATTTATTGGTGCAGCGGGAATGAATAGGACATATCGGTTACTGTCAATAATGCTGGTTTATTGAGGGTGCTGGTTTGTAAAGTGCTGGATAAAAGAGGCACGACTGTAGTCGTAACTAAACTGACAATTGACACGCCAATACAGGACAGATTTATGGGAAAAGTTGGGTTAGGCCAGCAGGAATACAGGGTAAGGACCACACACACACACACACACACACACACACACACAGCACAGACAGAGTGAGGATCACAGACAGAGTGAGGATCACACACACACACACAGCACACACGCGCTGGACATGAGTTCTAGCAAACAACACACATACCTTCAGCTTCTCTGCCCAGCGTGGCTCTCGCCAGGCGTCATAAAACAAGCGACCCAGTCCGGCGTTGAACCACAATAGAGAACCAAACGGGCTGGCAATGGAGCGCGGAACAGAGCCATCCTGAAGACGGCGTGGCAGATTGGGCGAGGATGAAACGAAGCGAACGCCGCCTCGCCGATCGGGTGATGCGGGCCGTGACCTGAGGGTACTGGCATGTCTCCGGCCGTGTGCGAGCTGCTAGCCTGTGCACTGGTCGAAGTCGTGACATTCAGAGATCCTGTGAAAACACACACACGCACGCACGCACACACACAGGCACAGACACATGCACACACAAGTAAGTCCACTGTAATTCATATCACATACTATGGTCTATCCAGAGATATCTTATATCAAGAGTACATAACCCTCCAGAGTGTGCAAAGCCTGATTCAGCTCTGCATAGGGTCTTGGTCGAGCGTAGTCGGATTTTCTGATGTCATGCGTACACTTCACACCAGCGCAAGGCCGGTCTCGAGGCAGGTCACCGTTGTTTTTGATCCGAGAGTCCCTGCGACTCCCCGGGTTCCCCTCAGATGTGTACGGTATTATGACGCAAAGATCTGATTCCGCTCGACCAAGACCCTATGCAGAGCTGGATCAGGCGTTGCACAAGCTGGATCAGGCGTTGCACACTCTGGGGGGTTATGTACTCTTGCTTATATACCGTATTTTACCGGTTGTAAGTCGACCCCGGTTATAGGTCGACCCCCCGTATCCGGAGGTCTCAATTCTGCGTTTTAAAGTTTTCACCCACCGAAGCACTACCAACCACGCCCTGCTACGAATACATCAACAAATCATGTAAACATTCCCTATTGGAGGGTATAACGTCCCAATCCTTGAAAAAGGCCAATAAACTGGCAAACATGTGTACACATGGTGCACTCATGCATGCAGGGCAGGTCATTTTTTGTAAGATTCTGATAGTTCCCGGTTATAAGTCGAATTCCGGTTGTAAGTCGACCCCCACCCTTTCTCCTTCTATTTTTAGTCGTAAAAGGTCGACTTACAACCGGAAAAATACTGTACTGAACTGCTGCTTCACGAAGGGCCGCATAATTAACAAAAGAAGAAAAAAAGTAAAGCCGTTCCCACACCGGGAATTGAACCCGGGCCGTCTGGGTGAAAACCAGAAATCCTAACCACTAGACCATATGGGAGATGCATGCACTGAGATGTGAAAGATTGGAACTAATAGAGAGGTTCTGGCAAACGAAAATTCGCACGAAGTTTCGCGATGGGCTTTGCGAAAATGTGTGCGAATTTTCGCACAAACTTTGTGTTCTGCCACATTTTCGTAGTTTGCACGTGCCCAAATACACGTTGACCCGATCTGACGAAACGTCTCACAAAAGTTCATTTCGCGTCCCCTGCAAGTTTCGCGTCCAAAGTCGCGAAAGTTCATGCGAAGTTTCTCACTGTACGGCGTAGAGCGGAAGTTTGTACGCATTTTCGTTTTGCAGAACCTCTCTATTAAACCAGGAGTTTTACAAGGAGCTCGTGAGTCACCGAAGACTTTCACAACTCACATAGAGGACAACCAAGTAAACATACAAACTACATTTCTAAAGCACACAAATCAACAATATGGTTCTCCTGCACTTAGCGGGATACATCATCAAAAAGATGACGTTCATTCAAAGTCACCTGCTCGACGGTCGCAGATCAGATTAATCAGTGGTACCACGCTGGTCGGTGAGACGGCGACACAAAGAACGTTGGATACGGTCCAAGGAGTCGCAGTGGAACCTGACCTTTACACAACAGCCCCTCGATCCAAACTCACACACGCCGTGACGGAATGCTCTCTTCGGTGCAAAACACTAACATTTTCGGGGATGGCGATTACAAAAGTAACGTAGTTTCCAGAGTGTAAGCCGCACCCAGATGTTTTGTCACGAAATACAGACATCTAGCCTGTGTATCATCATTCATTTGACCATGGTAGTGACTTTTTCGGGGTGGATTTCGAGTGTGAAAAGGTGCAACTTATATGCGGGAAAAGTACGGTAGTGACTTTGAAAATTTGAAATACCGTATTTCCCCGATTATAAGTCGCACCTTTTCGTACTAAAATTCAGGGAAAAAAGGGGGTGCGACTTACAATCGAGCATGACTTTCTACTGAAGCGAATATATCGCAACAATATTGCTCAAACCTGAAAATGGGGGTGTGACTTATAATCAAGTGCGACATATAACTTCATCGGGGAAATACAGTACCTGATGTTGCCGATGCACCAACCGTACTGTTTGGTCGGTGGAAATGCCTGGTGACCGACGGAGACCCATCAGGTCGACGCGGTGCTGCTTCACTACCAACAGATATCTTCTTGCGAAGTGAGTCTCTGTTGGCATGCTGCTGCTGCTGTGTAGGATGATCGTCGGGAAGCTCCGGCAGCTGTAGGTCTGGCAACAAGTGAGCCGTGTAGCTAAGCACGTGAACACACACACGGACACATATATACACATGTGCACATGTGAACACACACACACACACATACACGAACACACACATACACGAACACACACACACACAAATACGTGAACACAAGACACACGTGCACACACTTGCACACACCCAAACACCCACACTCACACCCAAACACAAACAAACACAGAACACAATGAAAGCGCTAAGCGGCCAGCAATGCAGTTGGACAGGCAGCATGCCAAACCAGTCACATATCATGACAAACTTGCTACGAAGGTCACATGGGACGGTAGATATCTGTCAGACGGATACATAACTTCAGGAGTACTGCATCCATAATAGACTGATTGATTAATAATGATAGATGAATGCACACACACATACACACACAGACAAACACACGCACGCACACACCTCAGACCTCAGACCTGCCCATCGCGGAAGCGATGATAGCGAACAGCTATGTTAGACATAGCAACTTGTGCACACACACACACACACACACACACACACACACACACACACATACGCGCGCACACCCATACCCCCCCCCCCCCCCCCCTCTCTCTCTCTCTCTCTCTCTTACCTCAAATAGTCAGCATACTCCCTGGGTAGATTGCTCAGCTCTGCGCAGGCCCGCGTAGGATCAGCGGCCATCTCCATGCGCATGAACCAGTCCATCTTGTCGCGACTCCGGCCGGCAAACAGGAAATACACTGTGTGCTGATAGGGGTTAGCTGCGCCGCCACGACGCTGGGGTGTATTGTTGCCACGGTGACCAGCACTATGACGACCGGAAGAATGGCCGCCAGCGCCAGTGCCGTCTTCCTTCTGGTCGGCGGCGGACAGGGTGAGGCGGATAGGGAACTTCTTGCTCCAGCGCTGGCGCTTGTTCAGGTTGTCTGGCACCAAGCGCACCTGCCGTCACCACCCGACAAACATCAACAAGAGAGAGGAATATCAGATACCTTTTACAACTATCACATGACCATACACGACAGCTACTTGAGTATTACTTCTACCGGAAACAAAAAAGGTCGTGACTCTCTCAATCATATCCTCAGGAGGCATTGTGCTCAACAACTATGGTTCAGTCAAACAAAGGCACTTCAAGACACTCAATCTGCGGACAGAACTGTTTCGCACTTCAAGGCAATGAGTGGACAAACTTGTTTGAAGTACAAGTACCCTAATACGCAAAAGAAACTGGCAACAATTGAGTCTTACTCCGAATCACAATTGTTTGAATCATCAGACTACAGTTCAGAAGAACTGACAGGTTGATCAAAGCCAGCACGTGTTTGTGTTTCCAGCGGAGGAACTATTGTGAAGTCTCACTTTTTAAGACTGCTGGAAAACAGCCCTAGAGTGCCATCGGTTGCGGGGGGGGGGGGGGGGGGGGGAACTGGGGGATGGGCCACCAAGACTAGGCCGTTCTTATGTTCATGTACTGCAGTCTATGCACATGTGAGTCAACGGGTATGCATGCACATCGGTATGCTGTGCTTTGTGAATCCCAGCCTGTTCGTTCTTCGGCACGCGACAGAACTATAGTTGACCAAACAGCAAACACCAAACAGCATGATTACAGTTTAATAAACTCACCAGGCTATTGCGTAGGTTGATTGTACGACTGTGGGTGAACAGGGCACGGCGGGGACGACCATAGGCATCACTTTCACTGTCGTTGTCGCTACTCTCTTCCTGGTGGTTGACACACACGTGTTGTCAAAGCACACGCACGGACACAAATACATGCAGAGAGGAAACACGTGTACACACACACGCACACACGCGCGCACATACACACACACACACATGCACACGTGCACACATACACACACAAATACAGTGAAAATCTGATAAGAGGTACCCCCTCGGGTAGCAGAAAAGTGTACTACAGGTCAGACCTCGCTATAACGACCCCCGCTATAACATAAACCTCATTATAACGTACAAATGTGAATGTCCCTGCCGAAACCGCATCACTTCTGTACAAAATTTCCTCGCTATAACATAATCCGCTATAGCGTAATGTTCGCTATAACGCACTGTTTGCTGGGTCCCCGGGCGCACGGAGACCTCAGCATAACGTAAAAACTCGTATAAAAATGACTATGTCCACGTCATGCATGCCTTCTCGCGACGAATTCGAGACTGAGCCGTCCACCTAGGAAGCAGGGAGTAGTAAAATACCGGTATTTTACTACTCCCATTACTTTTTATAGGCTGTAATCTTGTCACATGTACAAGTACACGCACTACATGGCTCTTGTCACCCCTTTGCTCACAAGCCTGTACACATGTGCACATCTTTGCTAGTCATCATCATACTTGTATGTAAAACAGTACAGTTGTAATCAGTAAGTGAAGAGCGTCATTTCGACATACATATTGCATATTGGTGTGCCCAACTCACTATAACATAAACCTCGCTATAACATAATTTCTCCCATCCCCCAGAGATTATGTTATAGCGAGGACAGGTCTGACCTGTATTTTTAAAAATATTCCAGGTACTTCTTATCCTAACATGCAGTAGAACCTGTCAATGCGACCACCCCACGGTGCAAGGGAAAGTGGTCGTTAAAGCCACGTGCTCTTTAGAACCAGGTCCCACAGTGTCTGTGTAGAACTGTCCGTGCATGGAAAAAACAGTCGCTAAGAGCAGGTGGTCGCTAAAACGAGAGGTTCGCTTACACCAGGTTTTACTGTATTTCAGTATAGCTGAGTACACCCGTGCTCCAGACAATGTCCAAACTAAACAAGAGCATGACTGATTAGAGTACAGTAGAACCTGTCAAGGCGACCACTCGGATAAGGAGACCACCTGTCCTAGAAGACCACTGCAACCAGGATCAAGGATTGCTGTCTAGTCAAATAATGACCCTGGATAAAGAGACCACCTGGTAACAGAGACCACACTTTGAAGGTCTCTTGAGCGGTCATCAGGTTCCTCTGTAAGCATCAGGTGAGTTCCACTGTAATTAGTGGCTGCTTTACTGGTCATGTGGACCGTGATTGAACATGGAAACCTGACTGATCACAAACTACACTACATAGACAATGCTGCTGATTGGAGTTTTCAACAGCATTCAAGTACTCTAGATTAAATTAAATAAAAATATCCAGAAGCATCCAGCATCCAAAAGGCCTCCCTAACAGGTGTCAAGTAGCCATGTAGCCATACCAACCACAGCCACTTACCATGGACATATTGTTACAGTAAAACCTGTAACTAAAGACCACCGTGACTAGCGACCAGCCTGGTACTACAGACCACTTTGCCAGGCATGGACTGTCTCACATTCGTACATTATGTTGTGCGGTGCAAACCTCTAACTAAAGACCACCTGCCACTAGAGACCGCTTTCTCTGGCCTCAAGGGGTGGCCGTTAGTCACAGGTTTTAATGTACTCTGTACTTACTTTTCTCCAAGACATGGAGTCTTCGCGAACAGTGCTGATGGTTAACTGTGCTCCTTCAAGACGTAGGTAGACCTTGGTAGTGCGATTGGGATGATGTGTAGCTGGGCCTTCATAGTTGTACGTCATAGTCCAAGCATCCTGTATTCATACACATAAACGCACGCACGCACGGACACACACACACACGTACACACACACACGCACACACACACACACACACGAGCGCGCACACGCACACACACACACGCACGCACGCACACACACACACACACACACACACACACACACACACACACACACACACACACACACACAAAGGGTATGACACGAGAGCATTTCGGAGTGGTGGTGTTCGACACACACACACGAACAGCAAGGACTTAAAGGGGAAGTTAAGGCAAAAATTAAAATTTCACCAGTTGTAGTCTTCGGGGTGCTGAGTCGAATGGTCTTGGTCCGAGAAAGCTGAGACGCTCCCTTCCTACTTGAATCCCAATCGAACTCGCGCACTTCCACCGAAACTGGGTGACTGCGCCCTACTAGATGGGGATTTGTATGCAAAATGTCACTAAAAGCGCCATTTCGTTCTTATAAAAGCACGGATGACCGCGATTGGCCCATATGTTGTAGTCTTTTGGACGCTGAGTCGACTGGTTTTGGTCCGAAAAGGCTGCGATGCAGCGTTCCTCCTTTATTCCCAATCGAACATGGTTGAACAAGCGGTCACGTGCTCCTGGGTGCCCAAATCACCTGGTCACCACGCCAGCAGGCGACAAATTTCACACCAAGGTTCAACTCGAGTGACAGGAGTGCACCCAAAAAGGTCAAACAGGCTAGTAAGTTGTACCCTGCAGGCACGGTGACCAGGTGACTGGTGTACGCAGGAGCACGTGACCGCTTGTTCAACCATGTTCGATTGGGAATAAAGGAGGAACGCTGCATCGCAGCCTTTTCGGACCAAAACCAGTCGACTCAGCGTCCAAAAGACTACAACATATGGGCCAATCGCGGTCATCCGTGCTTTTATAAGAACGAAATGGCGCTTTTAGTGACATTTTGCATACAAATCCCCATCTAGTAGGGCGCAGTCACCCAGTTTCGGTGGAAGTGCGCGAGTTCGATTGGGATTCAAGTAGGAAGGGAGCGTCTCAGCTTTCTCGGACCAAGACCATTCGACTCAGCACCCCGAAGACTACAACTGGTGGAATTTTAATTTTTGCCTTAACTTCCCCTTTAGCATGCCCTACACCCATCCATACGCATGCACCCCCACACATACATACGTACACACACACACCTCAGACCTCAGACATGCCCATCGCGGAAGCGATGATAGCGAACAGCTATGTTAGACATAGCACTTGTGCTGGGATTACACCATTCAACAGCTTGCAAGGCTGATGAATTGACCGCCACTATTTTTAGCCTGGTATCCACCACCCAGCTGTTTGAAGTGACTTTTCTGGCCAGTGAATCCCTATTTTTCATTTTTCCATTTCTTCCCTAAACACACACACCACACCACATACTCTGGCATACACTGGCTGTTGGTAACCACCCAGGAGAATGAAAGAAAAGTCAGGAAGAGTCCGAGAAAGAGAAGAAAGCCGTGTGCGACCATAATCGTCGGGAATTGAACCCGCAACCTCTCGATTCCACACACACGCATGCACGCATACACACGCATACACACACGAAGGGTATGACAAGAGAGCATTTCGGAGTGGTGGTGTTCGACACACACACACGGACAGCGAGGACGTAACATGCCGCACACCCACCCATACGCACGCCCCCCACGCCTACACACAAATATGTGCACACCCACCCAAAGACATACACATGAACAGACATGTACCTCCAGCACGTCAGGCGGCTCCATGTGCGGCAGCAGCTCCAGAATGCGTCTGTCCTTGTCCACCGTCGCGGGCGTGCTGTGGAAATGAAACTCCTCGTCCGCTTGCGTCGGACCCACATTCATACCACTCACACGGACTAGATACTGCAGGAGAAAACATCCCACCATCGTCATCACAAACGTACCGCACATCGAGCCCAGCAGGAACGGCGACAGTTCGACGGACAACAGGAAAAAGATGATTGTGGAGAGGAATAGATGTTTGCGGAACAGCGGTGGTCCTGGTATTGGCATGATTGTCCACAGCAGGTCGTTGTAACGCGGTCGCTCCGCCGGCTGGCGAAACCCCGACGCTAGCAGAACTCCCGGAGCTGCGCCGGTCGGCGACGACACCCGACTCGCCGCCGGTGATGCTGCGGGAAAGCTGCCGTTGGCGCTTGCAAGGCTAGGACTTGATGCACGATCGCTGTGCAATGACGTCAACGATGGGTCGCTCTCCGGTACGCTTGCACTGGATGAGGCAAACGATAGAGCCGACACGGGACGTGATCCACCCAGTACAAACCCGCCAACACTGGCCGTGGCGGCGGCAGGGGACACCGAGCGAGGTCGCACGCCAATGTTTCCGCCAACACCGTCGTCGGCAGCGGGGAGAGATGGCAGGTGAGCTCTACGCGAGGTTTTATCCTTCGACAACTGCGGCGGCACGGTTGGTGATTGGCCGTCGCACCTGGACACGGTATCGGAGCTACTCTCAGTTGACGAGCTTGCCTGATCAGCTGATGGTGCGGCTTCCGTCGCTACTTGCAGAGCTGATGGCATGCTCTTTCCTGTTGCTGCTGCTTCTTCCGCTGTGTCAGCACTCTTGGGTTCTGTCGCCGCGGTGTTCAGCGCCATCAGCGGATGCCAGGAGGGTGATGCGTCGTCCGCTGGTAATGCAGAACTCTCAATCTTTGCTGGTAGTGAAGAACTCACCGCCTCCGTAGCCGGAGAGGATGGCGTGTTATCTCCAGCACCACCAGTACCCTGGCAGCGTTCACTCAGCGGCGTGCTGGGAAGAGAGCTACGGAATAGCTGCTCACCATCATCGCCGTCACCATCGTCGGCAAACAGAGCACGCGCGGTGGGTTCGCCACCACCACCACCACCCCGTGCTGATGATACAGGATCTAGCCAGAGCGGCGAGGACACTGCATGACCGCTATCCTCCGCCTGCTCAGACACGCCACAGTCGCCGTCATCTTGCGCTCGAGTCAGGCTCGGATCTCCTCCGTTATCACTTACCCTACTGGCATCGTCGCCGACCAAGAGCATCTCGGAGACAGTGCTGTCATGCTCAACATCCACTGGTGATGCGGCCATGCCGTGCTTGCGTGCGTCAACCTTAGTCTCCACTATCGGAGAGCTGGCCGCTACCGAACTTGACAAACCCTCCCTGCTAGGTGAGCCAGCTGCAGCGGTGGATGCATTGTCAGTCTCAGGAGTAATATGTCCATGATGAGTGACAGTACGAGTAGCAGCAGGTCTCGCCGAGTCAGCCAGTATCGTAACAGCCTCTGCAGTTACAGCGGATGACTCGTGTTGCGACTGTGCGGGCAAGTCATCCGGTTCCGCTGCTCCACTCGCCTTTGTTGGTGTTGCCGGCGCCATAACTGGATGCACTTTCTCCGCGGCCTCGTGCCCGGGTCTAGGTGTGGAGTATACATCTTGTGATTTTATTGGTGATGTCTGCCGCAGTGCTGGGCTGTTTGCCGGCACGGCGGGCTTCGTCTTTCGCAGTGGACTGTCCGAAAGCTTGCCATGGGCCAGCGGAACCGATACAGTTTTATTCACGGCAGACCGACTGGGCGGCGGCTGCTGCCCGGACCGCAGCGTGTTCTCACTACTACGCGAGGCCTGCACGCGAGAGCTGCGGAGTTGCTCAGCTGGTTCGTGCACAGCTTTCGGAGCATCTTGAACAGCACTCGACGCCGCTGCGCTCGCGCTGCGTTTGGCTGGCGAGATGGACGCCGACGCGCCGTGAGTGATTCCGAGCGACTCGTCACTCTCTGAGCTATCAGAGTCCCGTGCGTGGGCACTAAATGAGATTGAGAAACCCGACGCCGACGAAGATGACCTCGACTTGGATTTCTTTTTCAGTCGTGAGGGCAACGGTGGTCGCTTCGGCTTTTTTCCTTCCGACATGATCACAGTCAGCCAACACCACGTTCAATATCCATAGAGTACAGTCGAGGTGCCCATTCGCCTGCAGTGGCTTTCAATTAACTTCAAAGGCTTTAGCAATCCAACAGGTTGCAGCCCTCCCCCAAAACAAAGAGAAGGTGATGTAAATGCTTTTGCAGAATACATGTACAAACAAAGCGAGGATGCTGATTTCAAAACCATTTTCGCCACGGTCGGTCGGCACGTGTATTTCTGCCGCACACCCGCAAAAATGCTCGTGGCCTTGGCCCTTGCGTCATCGGAACGTGACACTTCGGGTGGCATCTGTTCGGCGCAAATGCACCCTTTTTTTTCCCCGATCCCGAAGCGCCTGAACACTTCAGCGGCGGATAGTATGCTGTCACTTGTGAGCAAGAGTGGCAAGACAGACAGGTCATCAACCAATGTTTCAAATCAAACTAAAATTTAATTCCAAAGACTAGACTTTCAATAGTCGTCAGAAGGCTTTTCCATCCTATCGTATTCCTATCCGTGGCCGCTAGATCCCGTGCCGTGCTCAGCTGCGGATGCAGAGGAAAGCAGTCAGCCTACAATATTTACCAAGAGACTGAGGCCGGAGCAAACACCATCAGAGCAGTAGTGGGTAAGCAGGACAAAATAGCCACACATTTTTCCGATACACGATGTTTGCTTTCTGCAGGTATTCTTATTCTGCGGCGGCATTGTGCAATGCCCAGATAATGATGTATTTGTTTGGCCAGTGGTTTAGTCATTCTAGCACTTGGAGCACCGTGTCGCGTAGGGCGTCGAGCCTAACGACCAGATCATAGCGCACACGTGCGGTGCGGACACAGGGCGACCGTTCAGCACACAGAATATTTCATCCACCCATGACCAGGTGACATCGACAGGACACAGATGGGCGTCGGAAATCAAAGGAACAAGTTTAGCTGGATTGAGTTTAGCTGTGCTAGTAGTGGTGGAATTCTACACGGCTTACACTCAAAAGGACAACTACAAATTCAATTACAGTCCTGCAATTGTGTGAACGCTTGAAATAGCCATCTCAACGGCAGTTCCCATGTCCCGAGCCCCTGTAGCACGAGGGCACACGAAGCGATAATACATGCAGCAAGACTCAAGAGTACACACTCTAGCCTGGTGCCGAAGAACTGCGGGTTCAGAATCGTAGCCGAGTCCGTTCTCGGTTTTTTTTCATTCAGAAATCTCTTATAGCGGGGCCACCATGCATCAGTGCCCGCTCTACGATTTCAAACCGACCGGATACACGTCAGGCCGGGCAGAACCGGACTGGTTGGCCAGGCCATGGCCGGACCAACTTTTTTGCCCACCGACGTGTGTTTACTGCTGGTTTATTCATTTTTAATTGGAACAAGGAAAACGGTGGGGCACACGTTTATTTATTTATTTATTATTTCTGCACCTCCTCGTAGCATGTCAAGACCGCCAATTGAATTGAGGAGAGAGTGAGACCAACCACGGGGTTTGATCATGTGTAGCCACCATCATGCACAAAGTATGAAAGGCTAACTTAGGGTATGGCCCGGCCGGGTCGGACCAATCAAAAACTCCGTCCGCCGGTCATGCACAGTGACGTGTACCTGGCACAACTCCTGCAACCGGGTCAGAGGCGGGTACGTTCAAGTACGGCTACTGCACCTACATCAGGTAGTTGTAAACACAAGTACGTATCTTACGACTCCCTGATGTACATGTGCAGGATTTTAGATGTGTGCACGTACTGGGTGCTCTGTCTGTGCGTCAGTCATATCAGTGTGCAGTGTGCGCCAATTGTAATATTCTAGCCCCCTCTCCTGTCTTGCTGCATGCCTCACCAGGAACATCATGAGTGAGGATACGGAACCGACCGGCGACATCTTCAACACCGAGGAGGCAAACCCAACCATTCCCGCCAGGCCCAATGATGACGGCGGCCCGGCTGGTAGCGCCAGTGCATCACACGGTGTAAAGGACATGTCACGAGGTGGTGGCGGTGGGGGTGGTGCTACAGCGAACGATGACGGCGAAGAGGAAGAGGAGGAGGTTGACGGCGCACAGGATCCGGAAATGTATTGTAAGTCGTCTCTAGCTTATTTTCTTCTTCTACAAAATCCCCATATCTCCAGACACTGGGGTGAATAATTCAGGAAGAGCATTTTTTCTTCTTTTTTTCTTTTTCAGTCTGCACTGCAGTATCAGTGACTTCTATCGCGTTTTGCAGAAAAACGCAAACTTCGGGCATCATTTTGACTGGGATGTATCGCGTTTTGACCCGTAAAACCGACACACAGACGTCCGTGGGGGGAAAGTGAATTCTTTCGTGACAAAAAACCCGCAAAAGCTCCGGTTTGGTCTTTATCGCGTTTTGGAGCCATTCATCGGCAGTCCCACTGGGTGTATGATGACTGTTGCCGGGCCACAACATGATGAAGATGTAATGGGTGTGACTCGACGGTTAACGTAGCTTCCTGGAGTGTGTAGCCGCGACCAGGCCAGGCAGGCAGACTGTGTAATGCGTACTGGGAACCAGGCGCGTGCGCCGGTGCCCTTCAAGGGGGGGGGGGGGGGTCCGGGGCCTCCCCCGGGAAATTTAAAAAAAAATGAAGCAAAACCCTGCATTTTGAGCGAAAAAAAGGGGGGTTCCGGGCACCCAGGAACCCATACGGCACACGCGCCTGGGGAACTGCCTCTCATTCTATCCCTGTGCTCGGTTTTAGAACTACTTTCTGTCTGATTGTATGTCGATGTGAGGTATGCATCTAAGATGGCTGTCTACTTTTTGCGGGGCAAGTTACCCCATACTTGGCAGGTACAGCCTGCTATAGTGCATTTATGAGTGTGACCTCACAACGTTCATGACCTTTTATGCAGAGCTGGTATCACAGTGTTAGTACGGTTGTAGTGGACTTGCCCCGCTAAACCTAATGGCAGGAAATTGAAGCATACTAGTACGTTCCATTTGGCGTGCGTTTAGATGATTGTGTTCCTGTTGGATTGCTTGACTGCATGCTAACATTCTAGTTGACTGGCACTGCACATACTGCTATGCTATGCATGTGGTATGCTGAGGAGAGGCTTTTTGCTGAACGTACAGTAGCTGATGTTTTGTGCGTGTGTGCGTGCGTGTGTGTGTGTGTGTGTGTGTGTGTGTGTGTGTGTGTGTGTGTGAGTGTGTTTGTGCGTGCGTGCGGGTGTGTATGTGTGTGCGTGTGTTGCGCTTGTGTGTGCACGCGTGTGTGTAAATACACCTATACTTGAATCCTGATTGTGGTATAGCTATGATGGTAGGAGGTCTATATGAACTAGACCAAGCATTACAGGAATCCGGTAAACTATTGGAGGCCAAGGAGAAAGAGCTGCAGGAATGTTTGCTGGAGAGAAACCGACTGAAGGAGGTCATGGCCAAGGTACGTACTGGTATGTGTGTAGGGGGGGGGGGGGGGGGGAGTGTTTGTGTGTGTGTGGGGGGGGGGGGTGATGCGTAGATGCGTGTTTCTCTGCATATGTTTGCATACTTGCGTTTGCGTGTGCACATGCATTTGATTTGTTTGTGCAAACATGTGTTTATGCCTGTTATCTAGTGTTGAGGCGGCAGGAACTGCATCATGATCATATGCCGACAAAGTCCTTGTACTTGAGAACAGACTCTTGCACAGCCTGCCAAATCATCATTTTGGTTATCAATAGAATGAATAGATATCTGTGGTGCTATACACGTTGATGCAGTAAATGGATTTTTCGGTCTTTGACCACTTGGTGGTGGGCTGATCTACTCGCCTCCCACCGCTTTAGGAGCTGCATCTGCGCCTTGATCCTGGAAGGGTGGTGGCGTTCCTACGGATGCGGAAAACTCGGCCTTTAGCCGAGTCTGACGCGAACCGTGAAATTTTATACACGTTTATAGACGTTTTTTAGAACACGGAGGCTCCTCTGCAGCCAATTCATAATTATGATCGGTCACCACCACTACGCTGTCCTAGAAAGTGCTCAGGTTGCCTTCAAGTGGAGAGAATTTGCTGGTGTTGTTGTTGTTGACGGTGTGGTTGGCGTCATTTTCATCATCTTCATTCATGTTATTGGTGCTGTTCTTGTTCTTGTTCCTATTCTTTTTGAACGACTATTGCGCACTTCATTTCAGGCAAACCTGAGGGATCATCAGCGCAGGGCGCATTCATGAGTCAGTAGATTGCACTGACAATCACTACTAGTATTTTGATGTATGTGTTCTCCATCGTGTGTGTACGTGTGTGTGTATGTGTGTGCGTGTGTGTGTGTGTGTGCACGCGTGTGTGTGTGTGGGGGGGGGGGGGGTGCGTGTATGTGCGTGCATGCATGCGTGAGTGTGAATGCGTGCGTGTCTGCATGTGCGTGTCTGCATGGGCGTGTGTGTGTATTGTCATTGCCAGGAGATCCTTCGCAAGACTGAGCTCAGTTCTCTACTAGAAGATAGTCGGCAACATGTCATCGCCCTGGAGGTGCTAATAGAGAAATGGCAGGAAGAGGTATGCGTAGGACTATGCCAACTATGCCTCCGTCCAAACGTGTAGGGATTGTAGTCATGTGACCTGTTTTTGTACTGGTGTTAAGCTTGTGAGGATAACAAGGCTGCAGTTTACAGGGTTATGGGCCGTTACACGCCCGATTGGTTGAGAGGCTCACCTCCTCTCCCCTGACTCACTTGTGAGGTCTGCATCTGCCACTAAGGTGAAAAGGCATAGTGGTTGGCCTGCGGATGCGAAGGCTATAGCTTGTGTGTTTCTGAACATTCAAGCGATGCCAACGTGGATTCCGCGAATATTATTATTATTAGCTTGTGATCAGAACGCGATGACGATAGATTATCCATTCTGTCTGTCCATTAGGACTTGTTGGTAGTTCCTTCAGGTAGGAGCTCACACTTTTCCTGCCAACTTAAAACTGCACCGCGGATTCAAAGCTTTGGCCGACACTGGATGGCTGTCAAAGTGTTAGTCAGTGTCACGTCAAGATGATGATTTGGTGTGGAATGAGTGAGCTTCCACATGCACGGGGAACTCCCCCTCCAGTGTCCGAAACTCATACAGGAAATGTACTGCGTACAGTTCTGCTCCATGAAATCCAATCGCGTGAATCAAGTTTACGCCCTACTACGCCCTACACCCGGGTTCACATTCCCAGTGTTCGCAGGTCTAGGGCTGCACAGCGCCCGGCATGGCACTGACTCGCTTGATTGGATTTCATTGAGCAGCACTGTATTTCATATTCAGCAAACTACGGTGAAAGCCTTGTGTGATGAAGTGCTAAATCTAACGGGTCAATGAGGAGAAATCTGCAATTTAAAAATTAGAAAACGTTATACAGAATTCTACACTTATACTGCCACTTATACTGCCTCTAGCGAGCGTTGAAGTGAGCAAGAATCGTTGTCTTTGGAAGAAGTAAACCTCTCAATTTTAGGAAATCGTGATATTTGCGGCGGAGACTTTTACCGTATGAGATAACCTGGAGTGTGGGCTTGCACAATTATTGAGCGATTGCCTTTTTTGTTTTGAAGCTTATCATTGTGACGGGCCTGTTGTGTCTGTAGGTACGGCAAGTCAAGCAGAAAGAAGAGGTGACACGCACACAGCTAGCCGACACCACCGAGCTACTCAAGCAGGCGCACGAAGATGCCGCAGAAGCCAAGTCGGAGAGCGCCGCCACGGCCAAGGAGAATGACACACTGAAGGGACGCGTGAAGGAGCTGAAGAAGATGCTCGAGGACGGTGATCAGCTTCTACGAAAAAGTAAGACAGGCATAATGGTCACTTCCAACCTGTTTATGCAACCAATTTCAACCTGCTTGTGGTTTATTGAGAGAAAAAAGTAAATAATCATCTCCGTTCTTGAGCAATCATGAACAGACAGAGATATTATTGGGCATCATTGCCCGTTTGGTCTGCAATATAAAATAAAAATCTCAAACTATCCCTGCATCAAGTGTTTGCCCAGCATCTCTGAAGCAGAGATTGCTGATTTCGTGAGGACTCACGACGGCCGCTATCCGACCCGATATCCGGCAGCGGCTAGCGGGCAGCGGTGAGAGGATAAGTCTCACAACCTCTGGCACTAGTGCCGAAAAACCCCATCAGGCAGGACTTGAACAATGATGTGTCAACCCAGTACTAGTATGTGCAGTGGTTCTACAAACGCACCAAAGACATCTTGTAGCTAGCTTCGTTTACAACAAATCACAGGTGTGTGGGAATACAGAGAACGCCAGAGAGATCAAAGGAAAAGCCAGGCAGGCAGGTACAGCTAAAGTGCGTACGGTACAACTGGCATGCCGTACAGCGCGGCCGGATGAATGCATACATGCCACATAAAAGGATACAATGACAAACAGTGGTATGTGCATCCACTACAGTCTGTGCATACAGTCAACTTTGCAAATAACGACCCTCGGTCGTAATCTACTTGAGTGATGCGGCTGGATTTCATTCAGCAGCACTGTAGTATTTTTTATTTTTTATTTTACAAAAAAAACACACACCATTTGACGGCACAAAGCAGCAAGGCAGCGGTGAGACATATGGAATGGCAGGAGTGGGGGAGAGGCAGGGGCAGCTTGACCGACCATAGGGTCTCGGCTTCATTAGTATTAGAATAGACCTAAAAAAACATTCACGGTTCGCGTCAGACTCGGCTACAGGCCGAGTTTTCCGCATCCGTAGGAGCGCCACCGCCCTTCAAGGATCAAGGTGCAGATGCAGCTCCTAAAGCGGTGGGAGGTGAGTAGCTCAGCTCACCAGCAAGTGGTCAAAGACCGAAAATCCCATTCTGTGCACTCCAGACCTAGTGGCCATTTAACTGCACTCTCAACCTCACGAACAACAACAGTTCGAAAATAACGACACTTTTCTCCTCCACGATTTTAAAAGTTGGCGCCTTGGATCATTTCTGAGCCCAGTGTTTGCAGGTCTAGGGCTACGCAATGCCCGGGGTGTACATGAGTGACTCGACTGCTGATTTCATTGATCAGTGCTGTACTGTGGTTTTGTGGCACAATGATTATAGCCATTTGTCGTCTCCATTCTTGTTCAATCATGCATATGTAGGTTGGTTCTCTTCATGTTATTGTGACCTACTGTAATTTCACAAATTTTCGGTGTACTTTTATTTTCGGTACTTTCGGTGCAGCTGTTTCATACCTAAAATTTCAATACACTGAACAAACACTAACACGCATAATCCCATAGAGAACTGCTTCTCTGTACCGAAAATTTCTTTTCACCTAACCTGGCCTTTTGGCCTCATACCGAAAAAATTGAGCACCGAAAATTTCTGAAATTAGAGTATTTCATAGATGTTGGCTGCCTTGTTGCTTTCTCTCCCCTCTCCTCTCACCCAAGCCATTCTGCATAAGCAAAGCTGTGGACGCAGCATACTGCTGCTACACTTCAACGCGGGAATGCGTATACTAATAATAATGATAATAGTACCGTAGTAATGAGCACCAGTACATCGTTACCAGTGTCATTATACATAGGTTCGTCTAATGTTTTTTTCCTCGTCTGTGTTTGTGTGTTCCTGTCTCGGCCTCGTGCGTAGATTCCTCTACGGGAAGCAGTGCTGAGCACACGGAACAGGACATGAACTGGGCCTTCCTGAAGAGCTCCGTCCTCCACTTCTTCACGGACGCGCACCCGTACGAGCAGGCCAAGGCCATCGTGTCCATACTCGACTTTGACGCGCAGGACCGCAAGAAGATCTACGCAAAGCTGGACGAGAAGTTCGGACGGCGACAGCATTCCGGGTCGCACCATTGAGCGTCCGTGCACCCTGCAATGCGAGCGCCGGACATTTCAGCAATTCAGTACTTACTTTATCGCTCATCTGCCAGTCGCGTACGCTTGCCTTGATGATCTCGTCACAACGAGCTCACCACCGTCTTTTGACACACTACTTTGACTGGTCACCGTAAATCGTTATGCTGAGGCTAGTCGGTGTCCTAAATGTTCTAGGTGTCTTGTGCTCGTGTCACGGGTGGGCCTCGAATGCAGGCAGATGAACATGCTGCTCCCTGAGCACGAATCGCTTTCACGGGAAACTTTCCCTTGCCATGAACGAGTACTGGTCATCATGTGTTGAGGAGAAGTGCGCAAATGCTCTATTCCATCTCGCACGCACGCTGTGTGAGATGTCACCTTGCTCAAGCATCCGCACATCGGCACAGCGACAATGGCAGGTGTCACGAACTGCACGTATCCAGGTGGCCTTGACTTTGACGCCATCGGGCGGACTAGCTGCACGCATCGCTGCAATCACGCAGCCTAAGCTCTGCTCCCTGGTTTGTTTGTCGTCGAGTCATCTTCACATCGCCTTCACATCGTGTTATCGTCACATCACCATGCATCTCGTAGGTAAAGTATCGGTTAGTGAAAAGCTGACCTCATGAAAATATTATCATAATACTCTACACTACAAGACCTTAGCCACAAGTACAATATTCTGTTTCACTTGAACACGCTGATGCCTTGGTCATGAAGTTGAATTTCACCAGAACTGCACCGTGTGCTCACCAGTAACCATGCCAACAAATATAACTCCATGCAATATTTGACAGCACTGCATGGTGGGGGGGGGGGGGGGAGAGATTAGGCACTGCTGGAGACTCCTACATGTGTGTAGGCTCACATGTAGGTGCAGCTTTGCAAAATTATTATTTGCTTTCAAGTCATGCTTTTAATAATATCGATATTAATTTCACCTATTGAGTCTAGATATCTTTTTATGCACTAAAAGTTATTTTCTACTCAGTTTGTGGGTCGCATGAGTCATGAAACGATAATTATATCAACACCGCCTCTGTTAGTGCTGTTCCCAATTCAACATAATTATATCAACACCGCCTCTGTTAGTGTTGCTCCCAATTTAACATAATTATATCAACACCGCCTCTGTTTAATAGTGCTGCTCCCAATTCAACATAATTATATCAACACCGCCTCTGTTAGTGTTGCTCCCAATTTAACATAATTATATCAACACCGCCTCTGTTAGTGCTGCTCCCAATTCAACATAATTATATCAAGCGAATCACTATTGTAACCTATTGTAAAGAAAAATGACCCAGGAACTACAAGTTCCGCTATAATGTCCACTAACACCACCAGTTACTTGACAATCAGCTCATGCGATTGTAGTTCCTTGGTCCTTTTTCTTTACTATAAATTAATCATTGGCTCTCCATCCGAGTACTATTGCTGTAACTACTTATATTCTCTAATTGGCCACCAGCCGGCATTGTGAGAATACGGATTTCAAACCTTCTCTGCATGGCAATACTAACATGAAGCTGACATTCCCCCCTTTTCAAGGCCTCTATCATTGTCACATCTATCGATTTGAAGTCACGTTTCTTGTTCTCTCTATGCTGTTTGATTGGATTTCTCTTGGCCCCATTTCTTTTTAGTCCGAGTGGTCGTAAGTTGACATGCTTCCCTTACATCTTCTTTTATTCTTCGTCCCTGTCTGCCAAAAACCTGCGGAATAACATCCTAATGAGTGCAGTTTTTTGACCTAGAGTCGAGAGTAGAGGCTAGACCCTGGCCACGGTATGATGTTAGGATTATTCATGGTTCCGGAGTGAGGCCGTGTGATGAGAAAGTGGCACAGAAAGGGTTTCAGTTCCAGCATGATTGCATGCCTCGACATGGATATCATTATCAGATAATGACGTACCGGTAGAGTCTACCAGTACACAGTGACAATGGTGGACTGGTGGCCTGGCACGAGCGACACGTCCTACCTACTGCCTCGTTGTGTTTCTCAACACCATGACTCCTTTAGCTGGTACATGGACATGGTAGCGACGCGGAGGTGCCAACTCTACATGTTTCTTACTTTACACAATGATTAATGATCCAGGAGTCTAAGAAAGGTGCCGCCTGAAGATACATTGCGTTAGGCATTTCCG